CTTCGCGAGCGGGCGTAGTAAAACCAGTCGAAGAGACTGAAATCAGTCGAATCAGTCGACTGTTTCGTCCTGAAGAATTCACGAGGAAAAAAAATGACGACTTTTTTCAATTCCCAGACCCCAAATCAGTCGACTGATTCGACTGATTTCAGTCTCTTCGACTGGTTGCCGCGAGCTCGAATTTCCCAGAGCCCCAAACAGTCGACTGGTGCGACTGATTTCAGTCGCTTCGACTGTTTTCCCCGAATTTTCAAATTTTGTGTATTTATTATGCGACTGGTCGGCGCCCGTCGAGTACGACTGGTTTTCGACTGTTTTATGACTGTTTTTTTACTGCTAGACTGATTCTCGACTGCTGTTTTTGGCGGCTGTCTTGCGACTGGTGCCAGTCGAGGACCAGGCGAAGGAGTCGCGAAGCCGTCGATTTTCAGTCACGAAGCAGTCATTATGCGACTGGTCCGCGCCCGTCGAGGGCGACTGGTTTTCGACTGTTTTATGACTGTTTTTTTACAGCTAGACTGATTTTTGACTGCTGTTTTTGGCGGCTGTCTTGTGACTGGCGCCAGTCGAGGACCAGGCGAAGGAGTCGCGAAGCCGTCGATTTTCAGTCAGAAAGCAGCCAGCCTACGCGACTGGGCCGTGCAGGTCGCCAGTCGTTTCGATGAGGCCGGTTCTTTTTGAAAAAAAAAATTGAGCAAAAAAAAAAAGTACCGCGTTATTTACGTAAAATTACGCGGGTTCCTGGCCACGTTTATTATGGCGTTTATTACGCGTTTTTTACGCGTGCTTTGGGACCTAGGAAACAACGACCGAACCGCATGAGGCCCCCCTAGGCCGCGCCGTTCGCCGCGGGCGCGGCGTCGAAGTTCGCGCGCGTCGCGCGGAGCGCGTCCGTGACCTTGAAGGACTTGGCGGCGAGGGTGTCCTTGTCGGCCTGGCTCCGCGTGCAGAGGGACACGTAGCAGGTGAGGAAGGCGACGAGGTCCACGGTCGCGTGCGTGACGGCGGCGACGAGGAGGTTGCCCGTGAGGGCGTAGACGAGGCCGAAGTAGGCGCCGGCGAGGGCCGCGAGGAGCGCGTAGCCCCGGCAGTAGTTGTGGAGGGCGCCGAAGCAGCCCGACACCGCCGCGACGGCCGCGACCGTCGCGAGACGTTCCAAACCGACGGCTCCCACGAACCCCGCGGCGGGCCCGCCCGCGGCGAGGAAGAGCCACTTGGCGGCGCGCTGGAAGACGCCGCGGAAGGCCGCCTCCTCGAAGATGCCCGCCGACGCGGAGATGAGCGTCGTCGCGAGGACGACGCCGACGCCGCGTTTCCAGCCGCCGAATTCGACGCCAAGCGCGGACGCGGTGATGAGCTCCGTGTGCGCCGTCACGTCGGCCATGGACGGGAAGTACTTGTCCACGGGGATGAAGCTCAGGACGATCCAGGGCAGGGCCAGCAGCACGCCGGCCCTCGCCGCGGCCCACGACCACGCCCAGCGCTCGCCGAGGACGTTCGCGCCCGCGAGCGCGCCCGCGGCGGCGACGGGCACGAGGAGCAGCGTGTTCGCCCAGAGGAAGGCGACGAGCTTCGCCGACGGCGCCGCGGGCAGCGCCGGCGGCGGCGGCGCCGCCGCGCCGTCCTCGAGCGGCACGAACGCATCCGCGGGTGGTGTTGCGTCGCTGGGCGCGGGCTCGGCGTAGCGCTTGACGACGGGCTGCGCGCGCGGTGTTGGTGGGAGTGTGAACCGCGCCGACGCGAACGCCGCGGCGTAGGGCAGCCAGAGGAGCGCCGCGGCGGCGGCGCGGCGCATGGTGCACGTGAAGCTCCACAATTTGGCACAAAAGTGCGTCTGATGTTCAAACCGCGCGCGCCACACGGCGCTTCCGCGGCGACACTCTCCGGACGCCTCTCGCCGCAGCAGCACAGGCCCCTGGATGCGATCGTCTGAGTCACTCACGCATGGCTGCGGCACCGCGCGCGCGAGCCGGAGCAAAACGCGCGTCGAAGGTCGTTTACGTTCGCGCGCGCTAGGGCATCTCGCCGCCGCCGTCGTCGTCGTCGTCGTCGCTCTCGTCCAACTCGGCGACCTCCTGCGCTTTCCGCTTCTTCCTCGCCGGCGCGCTCTTCTCCTTGCGGCGCAGCTCGTGGACGTCGACGAAGTCGGTGAGGTGTTGGAGCTGCGCGGGGGAGCGGACGAATTTTTCACAGGATTGCGGCGCGCCGCGGATTCGCGCGGGGTCCGGCGGCGCGGGGACGCGGCGGCGCGCGGCGTCCGGATTGTTGCGCACCGCGAGCAGAACGTCGTCGACGCCGATCTGGTTTCGTCTCGCGTGCTTCGCGAAGGCCGGCAGGTCCGCGGCGAGCTTCGTCGCTAGTTTTTCCACCATGTAGCAGAGCGTGCTCACGGTCTCCGGCGGCATCTCGAGGCCGCGGCCCTGCTCCGCTTCGCAGATCATGCCGACGGCATGGTTGAGCGCCGAGCGCAGCGCCGTTCTGTCGTCTTCTTCTTCCATGCTTTGTGGGGTGCTTCTCTGGGTATGTAATCGCGTGTTCTGATGCTTCGATGCGCTTGGCGGTGGCGAGACGCCGTGGCGCGCGCGTCGGCGCGGGCGCTTGTCGGGGAAAGGTCGGCCGCTCGATCGATCGTTAGGGGGGGTGTTGCTCCGCCACTGGCGTCGGCGGCACCTTAGCGGCACCCCTGCGCAGGCGTGCGGAGCGGGGTGGTACATCTTACGCAACGTAAATGGCCTACCCCAGCCGTCACACCGACGTCGCACCCAAAACCAAGGGGCGTATCCAACGCCATCGATGGTGACGCGCTTCGCTGGCACGGACTTGTACGCCGCGGCAGCCCCGCGGAGACGAGGCCCGCGCGGTGGAATTTGGTCGACGCCAGAACCAACTCCGATGGGGGCACCGACGGTCAGGCTTACGCCTAGGGGTCATGGAAGGCCACTCCGACCACCAGAGCGGGCTGCCGTGCGTCGGAAGCTTGGGCTCAGAGGTCTCCGCTCCCGGCCCGCGCGTACGTGTTTGGTACTCAAGCCAGCGAAACGGCTAGCCATTCGTCCCAATCCGAGCGCTTGTTTTTGTCACGTATAGCCACCGGGCGTCCCTGGCCGCTAGCCAAAAACCGCACGTTCGGGCGTCCGACGCGTCGGCCATCGGACGCCGTCGCCGGAGCAAGACCCCCCATGATCGTTTGCCAAGCGCCGGCACCGCCGTCGTCGTCGCGCCGACCGCTAGATCGTCGTCGCGCGCGCGCCGACCGCTAGATCGTCGTCGCATCGCGTGCCGACCGCTAGATCGTCGTCGCAATTCACGCCGCGCATGAAACTGGTCGCAGGAACGCTCCACATGGGCCTCCTCTTCCTCCGCCGCGCCGCGGCCTTCCACCGCCGCGCCGCGCCGCTCTGCCGGCGCGCGGTGCTCCGCCGCGCGTCGACGAAGCCCGTGGCCATCGCCTACGACCTCGAGACGACGTCGGCGTGGCCCGCGACGGCCGAGGTCGTGCAGCTCGCGTTCACGAACGTCGCGAACAGCGACGAGCACTTCCAGGCGCTCGTGCTGCCCGAGGGCGGCGTCGACGGCGGGGCCGCGGCCGTCCACGGCTACACGAAGGCGAGCCTGAAGAAGAAGCGCGCGCTGCCCTTCGACGTCGCCTGGGGCATGGCCAGGGACTGGCTCGACGCCGTCCGCGACGACCGGCCCGTCGTCCTCGCCGCGCACAACGGCGACCGCTTCGACCACCCGATCCTCCGGCGGCTCGTGGCGAAGCACGCGGCCGAGGCGGACCTGGCGTCGGCGCTCTGGTTCGACACGCTGCCGCTCGCGCGCGAGGCCTTCCCGGACCGGAGGGGGCCCGGCTCGCACACGCTCGGGCGGCTGTTTTCGGACGCGACGGGCGGCCCGCTCGGCGGCGCGCACGACGCGCTCGCCGACGCGCGCGCCGTCGCGGAGGTCTGGCCCTGGTTGGTCGCGCGCCGGGGCGAGGCCTGGGACGACCACCTCGCGGCGCTCGCGGCGCCGCGCGCCGCGGCGAAGCCGAAGCGGAAGCGGCGGGCGCCGTCGAAGGCCGCCGCCGCGGGGCCGCCGCCCGAGGACATCGAGTCGCTGCCGGGCGTCGGGCCCTACCTCGCGAAGCAGCTCCGGGCCCGGGAGATCGCCGACCGCGTCGCCCTGGAGCAGTTCTACCGCGTCGAGTGCGCGTCGAGCAGCGACGAGGTCTACGCGAGGCTCGCGGCCATGCTGCCCCGCGTGAACAAGTTCGCGCTCCGCAAGGTCGCCAGGGGCCTCGCCGTCACGCCGCCCCTCGACGTGCCGGGCAACGGCACCGCCGTCGCGTCCTGCTAACGCGTCGGTTTTTACGTGCATGCGTGCGTGGGGAACTCGGACACTTGCCGGGCCGGGGGTTCAGTCGAGGTCGCGGGGCGGCGCGTCCTCGAGCGCGAGCGCGCCTCCGTGGGACTGGGGCGGCTCGAACGCGGGAGCGGTGCCGCGGGACAGCGCCCCCTCGAACGTGGCCAGCGTGCCGCGCTCCTGGTACTGCGCGAAGATGTGGGGGCAGAGGCGCTTGAGCTCATCAAAGCAATTCTCGCCGAAGCCCGCCTTGACGGTTTGCAACGTGCCCGCGATCGAAGTCATGTCCTGGACGTCTTCCAGGCAGGCCGCAAGTTGCCAGCAGGACCGTTGCAACGCGTCGACGTACGCGATCTTCGCGCGGCGTTTTTTGAACTCCCGGTACGCCGACGAGCCGGGAATGGGATCGTCCACCGCCTCGCGCGCGCGCTTCCGCGCCGCCCGGCCTCTCTCCTCGCCGCCGTCGTAGTCCGTCGCGACGACCCACTCCTTGATCTCCTCGAGCGCCTCGGACCGCGCGTCCTCGGTGGGGTTCGGCCCCGGGTCCTCCACGGCCGAATTGATGGTCTTCACGAGCTCGTCCTCGGCCTGCTCGTGCGCCGCCGCGCGCAAGACGTACTTGAGCGCCGCCTTGGGCGGCACCGTCGTTTCGTTGCACCAGAGGAGGACCGACTCGACGAAGCGCCGCTCGGGCAGGGGGGCCTCGGCCATCTGCGCGTCCGAGCTGCCCCGCGGGTCTTTGAGGAGCGCGCGGCAGCTGATGAACGGGCTGCGAGTCCCCGGCGGTCCGCTCGAGTGGTGCCTTACAATGGCAGCCCCATCATCATTGGCAGATCTTTCCCCCACCGGAATTCAACATCGTTCAAAGAGCATGCGCGGATAGCAGCCCACGGTGCGATGATGAGCGCGCCCCAACACAGTTGGCAGGCGCGCTGCGCGGCGAAGCGCGACGAGATCGAGCGCGACACGCGCATGCTCGACGAGCGGAAGAAGAACCGCATCGAGCGGCTCTACCGCGAACTCGAGGCGACGAATGAGGCCCTGGTGCCCGTCGAGGCGACGACGGCGCGCGCGGAGGGCGACCGGGACCGCGTCGTCGACGGCAAGCTGGACCTGCGGGACCGCATGATGCGCGAGCTCGTCATCCCGCGGAGCGTCGAGCAGTGTCTGGAGACGCGGTCGCTGCGGACGCTCGTATTGCGGGGCAACCGGCTCCGCGTGCTCGACGCGCGGACGCTCGCGCCGCTCGTGAGCCTCGTGTCCCTCGACGTGAGCCGCAACGAGCTCGAGCGCCTCGGCCCCACGGGCGCCGTGACGGTCCACAGCGACGACGCGGCCCGCTACGCCGCGCACCCGAGCCTCCGGCGCATCTCGGCGCTGCCGCCGAGCTCGGGCACCGCGCCGGCCGTCGGCGGCTTCCCGCCGGGCCTGGAGACGCTCTGCGCGGCCTACAACCGCATCGCGCGGCTGAGCTTCGGCCCGGGCGGCGCGCCGCGGCTCTTGAGAGTGTCCGTGGCGCACAACTGCGTGAAATTCGTCGCCAAGGACGTCGACAAGGCGCCCTTGCTCGAGGAGCTCGACCTGCGGGGCAACCACCTCCCGACGGCCCAGCTCCGCCACCTCGCGCCCCTGCGCCGCGTGAAGCGGCTGCTGCTCGCGGGCAACCCGCTCTCGGACGACCGCCGCCACTCGCACGGCCTCCCCGCGCACCTCCGCGGCGCCCTCAACGCGCCGCGCCTGCCCCGGGCGCCGCCCGTCCCGAGCCGCCCCCCGCCGGAGACGCTCCGGCCCGAGCCCGCGCGGGGCGCGGCGGCCGCGCCGCCGCCGCCGCCGGACGACGACGACGACGACGTCTCCATGCCGCCGGCGCCCGTCGACGACGAGCGCTTCCGCTCGCGGGAGCCGTCGCCGCCGCCGCCGGACGACGACGACCGCTTCGCGTCCCGCCGGCCGCCAAATTTCGTCTCCCAGCGGCCGGCGTCTCCCGAACCGGAGTCGCGCGGGCCGCCGTCTGCCGTCGCCCGGGTCCTCCGTTCCGAACCCTCCCCGGCGCCGTCGCGCGCGCGGTCCGAGGCCTCCTCGGCCGCGTCGCGCGCGCGGCCCGCGGCGGCGCGCGCGCCGGCGCGCGGCCGGCCCGAGGCGTCGCCGCGGCCCAGCGTCAGCGACCTGGCGTCGGACGCGCCGGGCTCGCCGCCCGCCTGGGCCGCGTCCGGCGCGGCGGCGCGGCGGCCCGAGCCCGAGGCGCCGTCCGAGCCGGACGCGCGCGCGGCGGCGGCGCCGGCGAACGTGCGCGGCGCCGCGCCGCCGCCGGCGAGCGTTCGGTCCGCGGCGTCGCCGTCCGAGGCACGGGGATCTTCAAGTATCCCCTTGTCCGAGGCGGCGTCGAAGCGGTCCGAGAGCCCGACGTCGACGGTGCCGACGCCGCAGTCCGAGCGGAAGCCGACGCTCCGGGAAAACGGCGACGCGTCGAGGCGGTCCGAGAGCCCGACGTCGACGGTGCCGACGCCGCAGTCCGAGCGGAAGCCGACGCTCCGGGAAAACGGCGACGCGTCGAAGCGGTCCGAGAGCCCGACGTCGACGGTGCGGAAGCCGACGCTCCGGGAACGGCTCCAAAAGACCGCGGCCGCGGAGTCCGCGAGCTCCGAGGAGGAGGAGGAGGAGGAGTCCGAGGAGGAGTCCGAAGACGACGACGACGACGAGTCCTCGGGCTCCGGGACGGTCTACTCCGAGGACGGGCCGGACTGGGTCGAGGGCTGGGACTCGAACCACAAGCACGTCTACTACTTCAACGTGCAGACCGAGGAGACGACGTGGACGCGGCCCTTCGGCGAGGAGATCCGGCCCATGTCCGCCAAGGACGCGGCGCTCCGCAAGCGCGACCTGCTCAAGTCGACGAACTACGCGGGCCCCCGGAGCCAGTGGGGCCGGACGCCGTCGGGCTCCGAGGCGTCCGAGTCCGTCGCCGGGTCCCCGCGGCGCTCCTAGGGTGTCAGTCGGGCTTAAGATGGGCAGCGTGGTTCGAATTGTGCGACCAGGACACCAGTGAACCCACGTGCATTTGCGCCCACCCCTCCTCGCACATCCCTTCCGGGCTCCGAAGTGGGCTCCGGGACTCGGAGTCCTTCATCAATCACACGCCGTCGGGCTCCGAGGCGTACGAGTCCGTCGCCGGGTCCCCGCGGCGCTCCTAGGGTGTCAGTCGAGCTTAAGATGGGCAGCGTGGTTCGAATTGTGCGGGATGAATTGTCGTCCGGTCTCTCAGTGGACGGCGAACTCGGGCAGCAGCGCGCGGAGCGACGCGGGCGGCTCGGACGCCTCGCTCGCGAAGCGGCTCGTCGTCATGAACTCGACCCAGGCCTCGTCGCGCGGGTAGTCGGCGAACTCGAGCACGGAGAAGTCGGTCTCGTGCCGCGTGGGCATGACGTCGCGGCGCCGCCGCGGCGCCGCGTAGCGGCTCCGCGCGCGCTCGACCTCCGCGGCCCAGCTCGTGCCGACCGTGTGCACGCCGCGCTGCTGGTAGGCCCCGAAGGGCGTCGTCGCGAAGACGCGCGCGTACTCGACCTGCTGCGTCGTCGTCGTCGCCGGCGTTCCGCCGCGGTGGCAGAGCGACGTCGAGCTGCACCAGCGGCCCGGCCGCGACCGCCAGCTCAGCAGGCTGCCGCAGCACGGGGCGTTGTGCGTCGGGGGGATGGCCATCGGTGTGGCGCGTTGGTCGCGTGCGGTGGGCACGGTAGCCGGTGTCAAAGCGGCTGCCCAGATTGTCTTTTCGAGAGAAGTTTTGACGACACAGGCTTGGCGGCAGGTGAACTGCAACAGGCGGGAGGTGAACTACAACATTGCTGTTTATTGTTCGGGCCGCCGACGATGGACCTCCGAGGGGATGTCTACCCCACGGACCGCGACCGCGCCGGGCTCGCGTACCTCGTCAGCTACAACGCATCAGGCGAGGCGAAGGTGTTGGAGCCGACGTACGGAAACGCAGCGGACGAAGTAGCTCGACTCTCCATAGAAACAAAAAAGCACCACAACAACCGGCTGAGCGCGATGAACGATGCGCTGCGCGCAGACTATGAAGATGAGAAGCGATGGGGAAGCGAGTGCTTCGCTGAGAACGAGGCGCTGACACACGCTCTCGGGCGGCTCCAAGTCGCGCTGGGAATGCACGAGATTCCCGCGGGCGCGTCCGCGCAGATCGCGGCGAAGATGCGCGAGGTGAATGCCGAGCTGGAAAAGATGAAGGACTCGAGGAAGGGCAAGGGGTCCGGCCACCCGGGGAAGGAGTACTCGACCAAGAAACGGATGCTCGAGGGCCAGCTCAAGGAGCTGGAGGAGGGCCGGTTGCCGGCGGCCGACGCGGATCTCTCCACGCCGCCGCGCGGCGAGCGCGCGCGCGCGCAGACGCCGCCGCCCGCCGCCGCGCCGCCGAGCCAGCTCGCGCGCGCGCGCGCGCCGCCGCCCGCCGCCGCGCCGCGGACGCCGCCGCCCGCCGG